TGACATCATTGACGAGGTATTTTTTTCTGCTGATTCGGATCACTGTTCTTTGTTCCTCTTTGGTGCACACTGCTAGCAGAGTGGCCATGTTTACACTGTAACAGTAGCAGAAAAACTAGCATGATCAAGCTCAAACCTCAATCACAATAGCACCAACTATAAACACCACATGATCAGACGGTAGCGTAAGAAACCTAAAGATGTTATGGCAAAAGTGAGGATAATTTTTTTTTACTTACCCACCGTGTGTGTGGGTGTATATATATATATATATATATATATATATATATATATATAAGGCAGAGTAGAGTAGTGGATAGCAGAATTGGAGAACAGAGTTCAAATTCCAGTCAAATCCATTACATTCACTTATGTGCTAATACCCTTGGGAAAGGTATTAATTTTCTTCTCCCTCCAGATATGGGTAAATTGCAGGACAGACTGGGTTCTATAGCCTTGGATGGTAACTGATCTAGGAGGACAACTCTAAATTCAAATCCTGTGGAGAGTCATTTGGGGATCTCGTGGCACGTAGTACACCAGGTCTCTGTATTCAGCCCGTCAAAAAGTGTGGTTGGTTCTGCACAAAGACTTCACCACTATAATCAAATCTCATGTGCTGGTGTCTGGGCTGTCAGTTCCTAGGAACTAATCTGCTTGACCCTTATATGTCAAATACGACAGGAGAGTCTATATATATATATATATATATATATATATATATATATATATAAGAGAGTGTGAGAGAGAAATAGATAATTATATGAAAATTATAACAAACTAAATAGATTAACTTACCAATACAAGTTTGAATTTCATCCAAGGTTGATAATAGTAATTTGGCTGTAATGCTTTTGAAAAAGGCATGAATCCACGTCTCCCTGTACTTTTTCCTCATCACCATCTATCTCAAAACTCTTCACTGACATACCAGAACAGTTAAAGGAGAAGAAAGGTGGGTGAGGGAAATCACTCACCCATAACTACCTTATCTATCCCTGCAGTAGCAGCTTACAGATGTTATCCCCAGAGTCAAACTTGACAGAGACCAATAAGATACAAATGTGTTTTATATATGTAGCTATTTAGTTGATATATGTAATTGTTCCTTTTATTTGGTAGCAGGGAGTGTGGACTGAGCTTTGAACCTCACAGGCATTCACCACCCCCCTTCACTTTCTCTTTACCTCTAGTATTTTATGTAAATAAAGTACTAATAATGAAATTGTTGAAGTGAGGGGGGGTGCAAGGTGGTGATCAACCAAAGTGCATTCCAAAATATTATGAAATAACTGTCACAGACAGAGGGTGGGAGAAAAGATTGGTAATTGACTGGCTTCTTTTTTGCCCCAATTGTTTCATTCTGGGTGGGGTCTGGAAAGAAGGAAAGAAAAAAAAAAGTTCATGGGTGGTAAGTAATTTTTATGTTCAAGATAAAAGTAAAGAATGAAATAATGGCAGTGTTTCTGATTATTACTTTCAGACATGGACAGTGAAAGGAAGCTGGATTGAATAAGGGCAAGTGGGTGGAATACAAGGGAGGGATGGAGGGAGTGAACATTGTGAAGGTCAATGGAGTGAAGAGATAAAGCCGGACTGAGGGAAATAGAGGAGGAAAATACAAGAGAGAGAGAAATAAAGATAGAGAGTGAGGGTGAGAGAGAAAAAATTGTGGGGAAATAAACAAGGAGGGAGAAAGACAAAACAAACAAAAGTGTTAAGTGAGTAGTATTATCTTGAATTTTTATTAAATGAACCATTGTCAGCTGTTATTAATTTTTGACTAGTATTTCCTTTATCTTCATTTTACTTGCTTTTCATTGCATCTCCTCAGACCTTCAGTCTATGGCCATCAGTAAACAAGTAGTAATACGAATAGTATGAGAAGGCAACCCACAAATAAAAAGAGAAACAAAAGACTGAATCTGGCCCCAAACATCGGAAGTTTGCCAGAGCAGAGCTGACTTATTTGTGACTGAAAAATACCAAACAATATTGATGGCTATAAACTTGAGGGTCTGAGTAGTTGCAACGAAAAGTAAGTACTTTCATATTCATTGTAGCAAAAAGTTAAGATGGATATTGATAGCAGTCTGGAGAAATTTCCGTTTGTGGTTGTTTTGAAGGCAGACTATGATCAGAGTAGTAGTAATGTGAGAAATTAAGTCAGTGTCAATCTACTGTGTTCCTTTCAGCACTGAAACAGGGTGGAAATATCAGTCGTCAATGACCTCTTAAGTGCTGCTTTAAGCGAGGCTTTCTTTAGTTTCGTCCTCTCCTGGTTTATATCCAGGCTCAAGAATTTAGTGAGAACATCAAAAAGTCTTTGTGTCAGATTCTTTGATTGTCCAAATTATTTTGTTTTAATTTTTTTTTCTTTTTTAACAGGGTATGATTTATACACATTAATCAATCAATTATATATGTATGACAACAGTACAGACATGGTCTAATGATTACTTAATGTGTGAACTTGCCAGTCATCAGGCAGTGTTTATTTCTGTGTACACACTATTTATATTTACATAAACTATCTCAGATATGGAGCACCTTACTCCCATAAATGAAGCAAATTTGAAACATATTACATCATATCCTTGAAAATACATTTAATTCAGTGGTTAATATAAAGAAAATCAAAATTCCATTCATAATGTTGGCTACAGACTTATTGTGTACATTCATATGTGTGTGTGTGTGTGTGTGTGTGTGTGTGTATATACATCTCCTTGTTAATGCACTTAATTCAGGAGTGATTTTTAATCATTTAGATCAAACATTATAGAGTGAATATCAAAATTCAGTTTATAATGTTAGACTACAGACTTACTGATGCAGTCACATGTAGGTGTACCTCATTGTCAATGCACTTAATTCAGTGGTGAATATTTAATAATATAGATCAGGCATGTCAAACATGTGGCCCACAGGCTGCCCTTTAGAAGCACACCTGCAACCTGCACAAAGGATACTAATTTGGTCATTTAACAGCTAAAATTCAGTTTTTATAATTTAAAAATTACAGTATTTAAGAAAATAAGTCACGTTTTTTTTTACATTTTGATTTATTTTAATAGAATACAAAACCAGAATATCATTTACTGTATAAATTTAGTTAAAATAATTTTAATATTATCGACAAACTTTAAGTTAGTTCAGTACTAAGCTATTATTTTAAAAATTGTAGCAAATATTTTTGTTTGCTGAGAAAATAGCACAGGAACAAATGCCACCAGCCATTACACCATGAAAACAATATGGCAGCTCATTAACAGAAAACTTTCTTTCAAAGGTTTTTGCTTTTAAATGTGAAATGTCAGCCAAGAAAAGTTATAGAGGCATTATCAATATTACTTTATCTCTTTTTACTGTTAGCTGTAGCTTAAATGTATTTGTAATTTTTCAGATCCCATATCAATTTTGAAAATTAGATTGATTTTTTTTTTTACCAACTATTTCAACCCTAAAATGGTTAGTGCTTCTCCAGATAAGAGAAAAAGAAAATTGAACAAAGAAGGATGAGTGCTTTAAGAAAAGTGGGAATTATGGTATTTTTGTACAATGGTGAATTAAAAGATTGTTTAATTTGCAACAACTCCATTGCCACGCCAAAAGAGTACAACCCGAAAAGACATTATGAAACAAACCATTTATCTTATGATAAATATGAAGGCCCAATGCGTGTTTCAAAACTCAAGGAATTGGGGGCTAACTGGATAAACCTTTTTTTACAAAGACTCAGAAACAGAATGTTGCTTCCATTACCATGCAAGCTATGAATTCAGCCAAATGATAGCCATGAGTGACAAATCTTACAGTGAAGGAGGAGATTTCATAAAGCAATGTCTTGTAAAAACAGCTGAAGTTGTATATCCAGAGAAAGCAAACTTATTCAAAGACATTTCATTAACCAGAAACATTGTTTCTGAACAGATTGATGAAATGTCAGGTGTTTTGAAACAACAGTTGAAGGCTGTATCATCAACGTATGAACATTTTCTTTTGCTATTGATGAAACTGTTGACATCACTGGAATAGCACAGCTTGTAATCTTGATCAGGACTAGTGAGAGTGAATTTAATATTTATGAAGAACTGATTGAACCGGTTCTTATCCATGATACTACAATAAGCCAGGATGTCTTTGAAAGATTTGAGCAAGTTCTGCATGAATATAGTTTTGATTTGAGTATGAATGTGGTTGGTAAACATAATGGCATTGCTGCCAAGTTACAAAAAAAAAAAAAAAAAAAAAAAAAAAAACTTGCTTCCAGTTTCCCCTATAACAATGTGCACAATTGGTTGTTTGTGTGGTCCTCATGACAACACATGGACCATGGAATTGTTCATTGATGGTTGTACTAGCATGAAGTCACAAGTCATTGTGACAGAGGGTTTGAATGTACCGACCTTGTTCCAACTAATGATCAGGCCAGGTGAAAGGAGAAAGAAAATGGCAAAAAAGGAACAAATGAATGAAAAGAAGAGATGGAATGAAAGAAAGAATATCAAGGAATGAATGCTACAAATAGCAGATGAGAAGGAATAAAAAAAAAAAAAAAAAAAAAAAAAAAAAGAAAAAGAACAAAGAAAAGAAAAAGAGCTTGGGAAGGAAAGAAGGAGGAAGGAAAAGAATAAATAAAGAAAAAGATGGCCTGGAGGGAAGAAGCAAGAGATGACATTAAATGGAGTCTAAAATCAGAATATTTGAATCATAATTATAGACTATCAATCTTAAGCGATTTGATTGAATTTGCAATAAAAAGAAAAAAATCACTTCCATTTCCAATCAAGAACAATGGAAATTCATTCTTTTAATATTTAGTCATCTTTAATCAAACTGTCCAACTGCTTTTCTCCTTTTATTATGGTTCTTCCATAGGTATTTTTTTTTGTTCTTTCAACTCCCTCCACATTTTCTAACATCCTCTTCCTCCCCTTTTTTCTGTCTTTCATGTGTCACTCCAAATCACAAACTTAGTTTAAATTTCTCAATAAACCTCAACTCAGCTGTTGAAAGCACAACAGTGTGTGTGAGTGAGAGAGAGAGAAAAAAACAGAGGAGGAGGAGAGAGAGAGAGAGAGAAAAAAAACAGAGGAGGAGGAGAGAGAGAAAAAAGAGGAGGAGAGAAGAGGGAGGAGGAGAGGAGAGAGAGAGAGAAAAACAGAGAGGAGGAGGAGGAGGAGGAGGAGAGAGAGAAAAAAACAGAGAACAGGAAAAAACAGGAGGAGAGAGAGAGAGAAAAAACAGAGGAGGAGGAGGAGAGAGAGAGAGAAAAAACAGAGGAGGAGGAGGAGAGAGAGAGAACAGGAGGAGGGGAGGAGGAGAGAGAGAAAACAGAGGAGGAGGAGAGAAAAAACAGAGGAGGAGAGGAGAGGAGAGAGAGAGAGAGAGAGAGAGAAAAGAGGAGGAGAGAGAGAGAAAAACAGAGGAGGAGAGAGAGAGAGAAAAAACAGAGGAGGAGGGGAGGAGAAGAAAAACAGAGGAGGAGGAGGAGAGAGAGAGAGAAAAAACAGGAGGAGGAGGAGAGAGAGAGAGAAAAACAGAAGGAGGAGAGAGAGGAAACAGAGGAAGGAGAGAGGACAGAGGAGGAGAGAGAGAGAGAGAGAAAACAGAGGAGAGGAGAGAGAGAGAGAAGAGAGGAGAAAAACAGGGAGGAGGAGAGAGAGAGAAGGAGAGAGAGGAGGAGGAGAGAGAGAGAACAGAGGAGAGAGAGAAACAGAGGAGGAAAAGGAGAGAGAACAGAGGAGGAAAAGGAGAGAGAGAGAGAAAAGAGAGAGAAACAGAGGAGGAAAAGGAGAGAGAGAACAGAGGAGGAAAAGGAGAGAGAGAACAGAGGAGGAAAAGGAGAGAGAGAACAGAGGAGGAAAAGGAGAGAGAGAACAGAGGAGGAAAAGGAGAGAGAGAACAGAGGAGGAAAAAAGGAGAGAGAGAGAAAAAGGAGAGAGAGAACAGAGGAAAAAGGGAGAGAGAGAACAGAGGAGGAAAAGGAGAGAGAGAAAATAGAGAGAGAGAGAGAGAACAGAGGAGGAAAGAGCGAGAGAGAGAGAGAGAACAGAGGAGGAAAAGGGAGAGAAACAGAGGAGGAGGAGAAAGGAGAGAGAACAGAGGAGGAGGAAAGAGCGAGAGAGAGAGAGAACAGAGGAGGAGGAAAGAGAGAAGAAAAAAGCTACTGTGTGGAAAGGAACACTACATTCCTTGGACATTGATCAATCACTGATTATCAGCCAAAAAGTTCTGTCTTCCTTAACCACTTTTCATGAATGCAGGCGCCGGCCATCAGCCATCCTGTTGTTAGTTTTGAAAGAAATAAAGAATAGGATAATTAAATGAATCTAAACAAAAGATGTGTACACTGACTGTTAAAAGGTAGTGGCTCGATTAAATATCTTGTGCTGGTCATGTGAGCTTCAATATATTATCATCAGCTTTGGACCATGTGGAACTTGGAGGCTTTAAGGAAGCCTTCAATTATCAACTTGTAAGAGTATTGATAGTGAAGTGGCAGTATCAGTGCATATGCACTTATCAAAACTGATCAAATGAATGAGAAGATAGAAAGAGAGTGACATACAGATAAATAAGGAGAATGTGGGGAAGAATGTGTGTGTGTGTGTGGGGGGGGGCTCAAGTAAGAAAGTATTGTACAAATCTACCTCCACCACTACAAAGAAAAATAAGTGCAAACAAAAAGGATCAAAATGTTTCCTCCTTGAACTAATCTTGACATTTATTCTTTCTTAAACTATTGCTCCTCCAGTACAAGGCCCAAGTGTCACTCAAACTAGAGGTCATTAAATGAGGTTGTTGTAAAGACATATTGGTAGGGAGCAAGAATTGCATACTGTGAGGATATATAATGGTTGACCCTCAATTGGGAGAGATTATAAGTAGAGTAATTAGGGAAGCAACCTCTCAGGAGGATGCTTCCTTAATGCAACAGTTCTGGAGAGTAGAACTTCCTCCTTACTGATGGAATGAGGAGTTCAATTATGAAGGTTTGAACTTGTAGAATCAAGGAATTTGTCCAAACATATGCGAAAGAGTAGTGAGAATTGAGCAATATTTTGTCTGTGGGGAAAGGGGTTGTAGGCTGGGAAAAAAAAATTGATTACCCACAAGGTTGCTTTTTATTGAATATTAACTCCTGCCAAATTCTATCTTTCTCCCCACCCCACAGATAATTTAAGTTTGCAGTTGCCCTGTCTGATTGGGTAAGCCTCTCCAGCAAAGGGCCAACTACCAATAATTACAGGCTCAAATATTATGGAAAAACTATGACAAAGTGAGAAAAATTTTTCATGTCATGCATTTCATCCTTTAGGACTTCATCGGATTAAAATGTTTATGTGACTACACATGTGCATGAAGGAGAGGAGATGCTAAAAATTAAAATTTAGGTTTTGGGTATACAGTTGGACCAATTTCATTAAAAATAAAAAAAGAAATTTTAATTTTGACATTCCTTCTCCTTCATGCACATGTGTAGTCACATCAACTCTAGTCCACTCAAATCCTAAAGGATGACATTACCACATGAAAATGATTTTTTAAAACATGTTTTTGGTATATATTATAGCAGATTTCATCCCCTCTCCTTTGCATGTCTAGTCACATCAACGTAAGCATCACTTTAGTCTGATGTAGTTCTAAAGGACAAAACATGTCACAAAATTTTCTATTAAACTACTATTTAACTGTCCCCAAACCAACTAAATTTTTAGAGGCTCGATTACATGACTAACAATTTCTCTCACCAGAATCTATCTTACATATTTATAAAAGTCTACCATTTATGCTCAATTTGAATATTTCTACCACATATGGTCTGGTGCTCTGGCTATATATTTAGAGATTCTTGATAAAATCCAAAGAAGAATTTCCACTGCTATTGGTCCTGACTTGGCATCAGTCCCTTTCCCCACAACAGTAACACAGCTTCCCTGTACCTTTTCTATAAATACTTTCATGGTAATTGTTTTGATGAACTTTCCTCTATGGTACCTAGAATTTAGAAATTTAAGTTCAGTACTAGATTTGGTGGCTAGGGTTCATCATTTTATGACAATGTGTGACACTGATGAAACTGAAGGGGTTAATGTAAAAATGTGAGGTAGGAATATGAGAGGGGAAGAAGAGATAATATCAAGAGACTGGCATGCAGAAGGAAATCACCAGGTTATTCGCTAACCATAGGAAACAGAATTGAAAAAAAAGTTGAGTTATGGCTGTCAACAAAAATTGAAGTTTGGCAGGCCAAAGAACTATCTGAAATATAAACAACTCAGGAGATGAGACTTAATCTGTCACCTGAAAAGGGAATTGAAATGAGAAACAAGCCTATATGCATGATAACCTGAGGTTTATGGAAGCAGGATGGCTTTTTGGGGTGCACTAGAACAAACCAGACCAAAGACTGGGAAATAATATGTTATAGAAAAAAAAAAAAAAAAATGATTAAGATTGTCCCTTCACCCACTCAGTTTAAAAATCAGAACTGTCAAAAAGACAGTCAAGACCTCCCCATGGGGATGGTTTCAGATGGAATACTAAGAGAGGAGGAGATAGGGGGAAATTAACCACTGCCCATTTGGAAGTAATGGTGCAAATCATAAGAGAAAGCATGAGTTATGAAGGCAGGACAATACCTGCAACTAAATCTGAAAGCCCCCAAACCAGTTGATCCCATGCCAGTTTTGGGCCAGACTTGATATGAGCAGATTGCGTGGTGATTCAGGCAGTTAGAGAGACAAGATAAATGGCAAGTGACCTGTGCCAAGAGAATTCCCTACTGAGCACCATTTCAAGATTTAGAAAAGCAAAGTGCCACTATAGAAATTTAAGTTTTTGTACCAGGAACTATATAAACCAATTTAAAAGTAACCCGATGAATCTTCAATTTCATCTGCAAGAACATTTGTTTCTTTCATAATACAGCTTTGTCATGGCTCAAACCAGTGCTCTGAATTACTGACTACATTCAATCTTTACTGTTAGGAGATCAAAGAACACAATGTAGGCAGATTAGCATGGATCAAAATAGCCAGTGACCAACCAGTTGACTGATAACAGTACTGACTAATGTAGTTTTGACCCTGTGATTGATTCATCATCTTACAACCTTGAGGACCAGACTGTGGGTGTGGTTACATCTTCTGGTATAGGCAGCATGTGGCAGTGGGCATACTATCTAGCAGTTGCAACCCAGGTTTGACCCAGGATCAACCAGAGCATGTGTGTTATAATTTTAAAGTTAAAATGGTTAGATGTAACTAAGTTTTATGCTAACACTTACATTTCTGGAACTCCCTTCCAGCTTCAGTCAACTTTGATCTTCAAAAATTTAAATACAATGTCAATTGTTATCTTCTGTCTTAATTCTTGTTCTTTTATTGTCCTCTTTCCTTAATAGCAGTTTCTCTCATTCTCTAAGACCTTATATCTTAGTGGTTTTATTGCCTAGTTGGGGTGAGATGATTAAAACAACACTCAAACAAGCAGGTTTGAAGGACAGGATTTAGTCAAATTTTTATCCAATCTACTAAGCAGTTATCTTACCAGTTAGTCCCAGAAAGAGGTATCCTACCAAACCCCAGTAGAAAGTTTCATTTTATTCAATGATCAACTAAGCTTTAATTCCGAGTGATTCTAGGATTTAAAAAGAAAAAGAAAAAAAAAAAAAAAATTTTATTGCAAACTTTCAGTTGTTTAATTTCTCAGTAGATGACATAGCAGATAAGGGATTGCAAACAACCAGCTAAAATGAGATCAAAGCAAAAATACTAGTTTTGTGGTGAGTGGCATGATTACTAGATTGTACTACTTTTAAAAATCCAATGCTAGTAAATTTTGAATTTTGCTACTTCCTTGGGTGACTAATTTAGCTCAATTCACTAGTTATAGTCTAATCTGGTAAGATTGCTTGTAAGTTGTGAAAACTTTGGAACACTTCAAAATAAATGAACAGAAACAAGACATGAACAAAAATTATATTTATTTAAACTGACATTGATTAGGATGAGTTCCTTATAAATCAGGTTGACAAGTTTGTTCAGCTAGATTAATTGTTAGTTCAAGAGTCAGATTTTGATAGCTGACAACAAGATGGCATATGCTGTCAGGAGTGTGGTTACCTTGGAAATATGTTGTAGTGCCATTCTGCAATGTATTCTTGGCCTTTAAAAATGATGGAAAAATGTCAGGCTACTACTTGGCACAAAGCTTGGTTTCAGCTAACGTCAAGTCTGTTTTTGATTGGTCAACATTCTTTTCTGGCACCCCTTTCTTTTTCTTTATAGCAGAAGTTATTCCTTGTTTTGGTAGATTTCTTGTCACAATAACTAGACTTTGGACAAGTGAACTTCTGTTTTGCAGCAGTTGTTTCTTCTACTTTTGTATGGGAGTTACCTTTTCATTAGGAGGGGAGGAGGGGGAGAAAGCGGGGACATTTATAAGGAAAGCAAATGCATTTTTTTAATTTTATATTTACATTTGGGCATACCACAAAATGACCAATGTTTAATATAATGCTTCTATAATCAAAAAGGTGAATCCAAACAAGGTTTTAAAATATGAAGTTCATTGAAACTTGAAACATTAACAATAGCATTTTTTTTTTTTTTAGCTCTAAGAAACGGGGATTTTTTTTTTTTTTTTTTAAAAAAAAAACAACCAAGCAATAAAAATATCCTCTACTCTTGACTACAATAGATTCTACATATTTCTCTAGTCTAGAAAATATACTTCAAGGCAATATTACCAGACTGAACTACTTTTGAAAAGCAAGTTATTCTTATTGTTAATGGTTGAATGAACCTTGTCAACATTAACAATGACAGTTTTTTTTTTTTTTTGCTCTTACTTCCTGAAAATGAAGTTGTAGTGAACCAAGCTAGAATTTGTATTGGACAAGATTTCTGTTGGTTATGGCTGAAGGGAAAGATTTTCAAACTAGATGAATTCAACATATGGAAGCATTTTTATATACATATAATTTTTATGTAAAAAAAAATATATACGTGCCTACCCATATAGCTGAAAAAGGAAGAGAAACTGTCTTAGCTGATAGAAAATATGTGCACATATGCAATGTACCATGTGGATGGATTTGAAGTCTAGCAGTGAGCTGCCTGGGAAAAGAAATTTTCCTTGAAAGCAACAAGACATCCATCCTGTAGCAAAAAAAAAAAAGTTCTTCCTCATATAG